GTTTTAACTAAATAAGACACTAATTAAAAATTCATATTTTAGACATTTTTGTACTGTCCAGATCTCAACTGATTCTAAAACAGCCCAAATGCTTAAAAAAAAAACAAAAAAACACCCGGTCTAATTTTGGCAATAAGTTTATGTTTTTTGGTGTCTGGAAAATGAGGCGTTTCAAAAACTTCCAGGATGTAACATGACAAGTCTGCAGGCACTAACCTGTTCAGTGATAGGTCACCTTTCCAGATATCACTAATTTAGGCATGATTTGCTTTCAGGATGTCTGCAATTTAATTTGCACCAGTAAAATCTATTTAACTACGATTTTATGTTAAAACGGCTTGCCGTACAGCCTTCTTTTAGTTACACAAAGGATGCCTGTGACGCTGGTGTGAATCTATAACCTGTCCCCTCGCTGTGACTCACAGATCCATCCGTCCCCCCGACCTGTGGGGTGCTCTTTCACACACACACACACACACACACACACACACACACACACACACACACACACACACACACACACACACACACACACACACACACACACACACACACAGGTGGAAGACTGTGCATCCCCTCCCCACTGCGCACACCATCCACCCCAAGAACAACAGCGATATTTACAGCCTTGTCCCCAGGAGGCCAGGTTTCTTGTCATGAAGGCGGCGTTCTCTGAGCACACAGAACCGTAGGTGACTTCAACGATCGTGGGCAGGCGGAGGGAGAAAGGACAGCTATTATAGATCCTTACAGGAAGCACTACTCCGGTGTGAAGCCCTCCGTCAATCCTGGAGAAACAATAAGTGAAGCAAGGCCTTTGACGTCATGGTGGTCGTAAAAAACAGAGACAAGGCTGGAAATTAACGGGGGATTCTCTGAGGAGGGCAGAGCATCTTCCTGTTGCTGCAAGACTTCAAGCGTCTCAGTCTCTGATGTTTGGTTTGAGGGTAAAATAAGAAAAATGTTTAGAGAAAAGGATGAATATAGGGAACTAATAATAGTGCGTTTTCTCCCAGGTCACTGTGTTCTCTCATTACACCAGGACCTGCTCATTTACTCAGCATCATCAGGCGTGACTGAATTTACCTGGTATCTATCCATCTGTCTACTAATCTATCCATCTATCTATTCAACATGTTCAAGCTGGAAAAAGCTATTTGCCCATCCATCCAGCTACATATCCACCAGTTTTTCATATATTTATCTATCCTTTATGTTGAATATCTCCAAATTATTCAGCCAGAAGAAACTATTTATCCATTTATCCATCCATCACATTGAATATTTCCTATGGCTAGCCATTTAGGATCTTAAAAAAAACTAGCATTTTTATCAATCTATCATCAGTCCATTGAGTTGAATGTCTCCTAGTTAGCCAGATAGCTGGCAGCTGAACAGAAACTAGTGTTTTTTTTATTATCTGTTTATCCATCCTTCTAGCTGAATATCTCCTACAGCCAACTAACATCACATTGTATCATTGGCAAATTTTCCTTTCCCAGAGCAAACCATGATGTTTGAGTTGGAATTAAACTTATTTATTCCTCAAGTTGTTGTATATTTGTAACAGTTACAGCTCCTTCCACATTTGTTGCCAGTCCTGAGACAGATGTGCTCAAGAGCCGTAAAGCAAATGTTTTTCATGGAGACTCATCTTGTCCAGACCTATGACTAACGTAAAAGTCTGCTACTACAGACTAAAATGTGACATGATCGTTCAGATTGCAGACACTTTGAAAACAATCAGATTTATATCTGGTTTAGTTCCACATGTGAAAGTGCCACAAATTAGATTTTTGGGAGGAAAAGATCAGAATTGGGCTGTTTAGACTGAAACGGAGAATGATTGACAGCGCTAAGATCCTCCTCCTCGCTCTGATTGGTTGTTTCTTGTCAGCACTGGGAGAAGGCAGGAAAGGTTGGCTATTTTCAGATTATCTTTCTCACAACATAGTGACAGTTTAAACAAGTATGTAAACATATTTTTATAAAACTTACAGACTGCAGGCAAATATTTGCTCCTCTCTTTGATTTTGAAGAGTGGCTGAGAGAAATGAACATTTATGTTCCAGTGAAATAGGAAGTGATAAATCAGTAAAAAAAGAAAAACTAAACATTTGTGTCATGCAATTGTTAAAAACTACAGTTCATTTAGATATTAAACTTTGACACTAGAAAATAATCTTTCAGGATTTGCCAATTAATATTTACAAGTTTTACAACAACTGCTCCTTTTGGATCCTGGGAAAATGTCTAAAATTGTTTCTTTCCAGAAGAACCCAAACATTTCACACAGAGGTGCTGGAATGCTTAACAGCCTTAACGTTTCACACTGAGGCAAAACGCGACAGCAGCAACTTTTAGAAGCAGTTTCCTTCCAGCTGCCTGGAAAACAGCTGGCAGTGCAGCCAAAACTCAGCTGTATGTCAGCGGTGCAGACGAAAATAACAAACTCTTGTAATACCTCCACATATTGTGTTATTAATGAACCGGTTCATTCGACAATAAATAGGAAATATTCTAATAAACATTTGTTTTATAAGACCTGCAGAAGTGTGGTCAGTCTGCATGCATGAAATTCCTTTATGTAATCAATAACATACAGGGGATCTATGTTTGTAAATATGATTATGATTAAGTCAGTTTCTCACCTACGACTTACCTCACTGCGTGTCACTGGTGTGTATGTAGTTGTACCAAACTGTATCGTAAGGACCAGTAAGAAACCACTGTAACCATTGTTCAATCTAACAATGGCAGCACTGAGGAGGCTTTAGGCAAAATGATGCAGAACTAAACATAGTTACACAAAAATATTGCATAAAAATAGAACACTAAATAATATATTTGCAAAAATTTTGATTTGGGTTTAGTTGCACTTTAAGCGACTTCTTGATTCTGCCAGATCTAATCTAGTGAAACTGACGGCAATTAATGACAAACAGTATTATCATTTCAAAACTGCATTTTGTATTTCCTCAGCTTATCTTTGTTTGATCTGAAACATTTTAAGGTGACAAGAAAAGCAAGAGCAGGTAATAAGGCAACGTGGACTGTAAGTCATCTCAGTTTTTGTGTTTATTTCTCTGGTTTTCCGATGGAAACAGGATGTTTATCCTAGTTCTATATCACCAGTTCTCACGCCTGCATTTTTAAAGCAGAGATTTTGACTCAGCCTGGAGGATTACCTGCTGTTCCTGTGGCAAATGGAACAAGACGCAGAGCCTGCAGATATCAGCTCCCAGATTTAGCCCGAGAGGGAGACACCCTGCTTACTTCAGGCCTCAGCGCTGAAGGTTTTCTTTTTGATAAAGCTTACAGTTAAGCTTTTGTAGTGCTACTAGGTCCTTAGAATCTTCCCATGATTCACTGAGAACTGAGAAGTTTTATATGTCATGCATTTATGCAACTTATCCTCAAAAAACAAGTAGATAATAAATAAGGTGCAGGGTTCCTAAACATTTCCCACAATAAAATTCAAGCACTTTTCAGGCATTTTCAGACAGTACAAATGGACTACTGTAATATTTTTGTGGTAGTATTCTGCATCCTATACAAGGTAAATTGAAATACAACTAAATTTTATGTTTTGAAATGTCTGTGTCACACACAACTTATACACCAGAATGATCCGGGAACAAAACCATCCATCCATGCATCCATTTTCTTGCACCCTTGTCTCTAGTGGGGTCGTGAGGTCAGGAGGTGCTGGTGCCTCTCAGGACACCAGTCTGTCGCAGGGCAACACAGATACAGACAGGACACACAACTCTGCACACACACTCACCCCTCGAGAGAGTTTAGAGAGACCAATTAACCTAACCATCATGTTTTTTGGGCCTGTGGGAGGAAGCCGGAGTACCCAGAGAGAACCCACCATGCACAGGGAGAACATGCAAACTCCATGCAGAAAGAAGCCCGGCCGAGAATCAAACCCATGACCTTCTTGCTGGACCCTGAATTGAAACCTAACTTTTGCAATGATTCACTTATAACATGGGAATCTGTCTTGTGGTGGACGAAATAATCTGCTGATAGAATTAGTATTTTTTCATTGAAAGGGATTATTGACTGAAACAAACTACTATATCTGCTGAAAAGTGACTTTTAAGGTAATTTTGTCTTATTTCAAGTGCAAAAAAGATATTTGAACTACTAACTAGCTCAAAAACACCAGATTTTGTTTTTGGAGTGCGTTATACCATTTGACAATTTATATTGTGAATAAAACGTGCAGCAAATATTTAAACTTGCTCTTCACAAAGAGATATTCAGATGTCTAGGTGACATCCGAATACATCACTTTATCAGTGGATGTTTACATTGTATGAAACCTTTAACCCCTGACATGCATCACTTTCAAGAAAAAAAACATCTCTTGAAGTTATGTTCCTTTTTCAAATTGCTTCTGCAGACTGGACAACCGAACTGCACAGCAACGCATCCATTCAGATTTGCAGGCAAATATTTCTGCTAAAGCCTGCTGCTAATTTCAATACTTAACTCAGCTGTGATTTATGGACTTGATTCCCCACAGACGCTGTACACAGCCAAGCCTAATGAAACACGCTGCTTTAGATGGAAACCGGAGAGTCCAGAGAGCCGTGCCATGTGCAAAACGAACATATGGATCGCTGCGCTCCCCTCCAACATTCCTGAACAATCTGGACAGGACATTGAGCATTTTATCACCAGCACTCAGCTGTTAGGCTGCTGAAGCATCCAGCCGCTTGTTTCCAGAGAGATGTGCATTTTATCGGTTCTGGAGGAAAACAGGAAGAGGCTAATTTTACATTTCTACCATAAATTCATGCTATGTAACGTTATCATATTTGGAGGTTTTCTGTTACTGTGGCATCTGTTGGGTTGAAATTCTTGTAGCGGGATCACTTGTGGCTGTCATCAGTCTGAAAGTGCAGCATGCTGCAGGATTTTTAAAAGTTGTGGAAAGCAGGAATCATTTTACATTTATTCAGAAATTAAACCAAAATCTTCACATTCTCAACCACATTATTTCCACGAAGCCGCCATCATTTCATCACGTGTCGAACATTCTCAGAAACGTAGATCCAGTTTTCATGAGTTATTGTAAACAGGATGTTGGTGTCCTTCCTGAAACAGAGACGGGTTCGTTTAGAGGTGTAGATGCTCCAGATTATTTAACACAGGGGTGTACAAACTTTTCATATGGGACAAAATTGTCAAGTCAGAATTACTTCTACCAAAAAAAGAGAAATCTAAAATATTTTAAGATAAAGAAATTATACAATATTTATTTATGTGCTTGACAATAAACTAAGTTTACAGATTCCAACAGATTTTCCCACCTGAGCCGTGGATTTCTGCAGCTCTTCCAGAGTCACCTCTGCCCTCTAGGCTGCGTCTCTGCTGTCAGTCAGAACTCTGGGAAATCTTTCACCTGGACATTAGTCATTTATGTTTCACTTCAGTTACATATTACTTTCATCTGTTTGTATGAAGCATTCAGAATCGACTCAAAATTGAAAATCCTGTCTTCTGAATTCTCCACACCTTCGCTTATTAATGTCTCAGAGAAATAAGAAGGGAAAGCAAAACCCGCTGCAGCCGAGCCACAGGTGCTGCCACGTCTCCCGAGGAGGAATGGAGCGCTGAGGGCCGCGCTGGTCGTCTGAGTTTTGAGGCATTGCATTTCAGACGGCATTCATCATGCTATCAGTTTGTTCTTACAAGGACTCGGAGTGGAAAGATAGGCCATGCTGGCCAAGACGTCTGCTGCCCTGAGCGGGAACTGCTTACCTCTTCATCTATTTTCAGACCGTCGAATGTCTCGACCTGCATGATGCAGACATCAGATGAAACCGTGTTGACTAACAAGAAGCAGTTTCACTGGTTGGTTGCATGTGCAAAACTCTTAAATCTCATTGTTAGTAATTATTATTCAAATCACAAGGTAGTAACCACCCAACCTAACGATTGTTTCAGTATTTGATTATTCTGACAACTAATTGATTTTTAATGTAACTATTTAAGCCTTTTTTATACAATATTATGAATACAGTAAAAAATGCAAATTAGCAAATAATTTAGTTCTTTCAAAATAAGAAAATAAAAAATTTTTCCTTTTGGAGTTTTGGGTAAAACAGATTTACAGAGAAAGCTTTTTTAATCTTAGCTGCAAAATTTATTTTTTATATCCACACTTCTATGCATCTCAAATCTGGAACAAACTTCTAGAAAACTGCAAAACAGCCAAAACATTGAGTTCCTTTGCTGGCAATTGTAAATCATATTTTCATGATATAAAACACATTGAACTGCCATGTTTCTCAAATGGACAATACAAATAAACTTGATTGATATTTTGTGAAGTTTTGGCTTATTTTTGCCAATGATCTCTTTTTTTTCTTTTTTGAGTATTTATACTCCAGTTAACAACCGATTGCGAAAGTAGTTGACGATGATGATTAATTTAATTAACTGTTTCAGCTTTAACATTAATCTTACTCAACTTCTTATGCTCGACAATTTTTCTGCTTCTAACAAATCAACTTTACCTGCTTTCGTCACGATTAATCGAATTAATCCCTGCAGCCCTAAGCTGTTATTATAAATCAGTTATAAATCAGTGAATCCAGCAGGTGTCACTGTGTCCTGTGTTCTGGTGCAGAGCAGAGTGGCAGAGATGAACCCACCGGACCTGGCACGGCTCTGTGTGAAACAGTGGGAGGAGGGGTCAGTTTATCGCTCTTTCAGCCGCGCGGCTTTAACTGCACAAGAGTTCACCAGAGGTTCGCCCTGCACAGCACACGGGTGTGAAACTGCCAGGGATAAGAAAAAAAACCATTCTGTTTATGTTCACATCCAAGCATTTTAACTTTTCCTTGATAACAATCTGCAACACTGTTTAGCTGCTTCAGCATGGGAGACTGCAAGGGCATTCATCGTCAAGTACGTGGAAGAAGGCATTCTTTCTGTGAAAACAAGGTGGTTTTTGATTTCCCAGGGCATGCACAGTTTGTGCTGTACACAAAGTTAGACAGGAAAGTGGTGCATAAGCCTTGAAGCGCTTGAGAAACCACTGACACACAGCGTTCCAAGGACACAACCTTTAGTTTGTTCTGCTGCGGATCTGAGGGCGTAATTTGCTTTTTGTCTCCGGACATGGACTTCCCTGAACCATGCCATTTTTAATCTTGGGGCCACAGCTGCTATCACGCGCTTCTGCACATAGCAATATACAGCATGCTAATCTACATTTATGTTGATAGCAGGTTATATAACCTCTGCAGCAACTTCACCTTTGCAAACAGACAAGAATTTACATGTTCTGGACACAGTTTCTCCTTCCCTTTTTTCCTGCCTCTCTGCATGCATGTGTGCACGCAGAGTAACGCTGCCAAAGGGGAATAATAACACTACTTTTAGCAGTAGAGCAAGTTGGATTAAAAGCCCTCATAGCATGCACAGCTTCTCGCCAGCTAAAGGAAAGTGCTTTTTCTGAGGTGGTTAATGTTCATCCCACAATAAAGGAGCTGAAACCTGGTGTTGCTCTAAGAGGCGAACAATAAACTGAGAGAAATGTGTTTGCAGATCAGGTTAACTGAAGCATTTAACAGAGCAGAGGGAAAGAGAAAGAAAGAATGTAGAAAAATAAGTGTTTAACTCTACGCGCTACTTTCTGATCAGAGCCAGCCAGAAACAGAAGAATATGGATCAGGAGGTTTTTCATGTAAATTACCATTAGAATAGAATATTATAGAAATATCCTTGAATTTTCCACCACTTTCTGTATACCAGCAGCAAATTAAAAGTAAATGAAGGCCTGTAGATTCAAATTGAGGCAAGATAAAAAAAATAAATGAATAAAAATTGTAATTTACAACAGATAAAGATAAAAAGATAATAAAAAATTTAAAAAATTAAAAATAACCGCGTTTCCATCACCGAGCAGATGGCCGCTCATACTGAGCCAGGTTCTGCTTCTGCTGGAGATTTCTTCCTGTTAAAGGGGAGTTTTTTCTCTCCACTGTCCTCGCATGTATGATCTGTAAAGTCAAGAGATTGTTTCATATGTCTAGGATGGGTGCACAATAACTCGCTGCTCTGCTGGGTTTCCTCAGAAAGAAACTTTTTAAATTAAATTTAATGATGAACTTGTTTGACATTCAGGATCATCTTGAATGTTTGTGATTGAACAGATTTTATTGAGATGACATTTGTTGTGAAATGGCTCTATAGAAATAAAGTGAATTGAATGTACAGAAATTGGCAACAAAATCTTCAATCTGCATTGTTAGTTGTAAATAAGCAGCAAACGCATTACAATAGAAATTATTTCTGCTTCAGGATCTCTGACAGTCCAGATTTTGTTTGGCCTCACATTTGAAATTTGGATTTCTGAGGACAAATGATGTCCGTCAGTGACGTACTGTCGGGTAGTTCACATCGTATCAAGCCCACATGGTATGACGTGCGCTTTAACCACTGTTCTGGCTCACTTCTGTTTACGGGTCGGAACCTGCACTGTGAAACAAAACTTTTCACTTAATAGAAGAATTCTGGTGAACAAAACTTAATTCTCATTCACTTCTTGTTGCAACGCATATTCAGGAAGCGGCGTGAACCTTTGGATAAAAAATGCTTCATAAGTTTATCTACTTGAGTCTGTGCAAAAAATTTAAAATAAATTAAGTACTTGATTTACCAACTAGGTTTCCCATAATGCATTGTGATTGTGCCACAGCAGCAGCCACTAGTTAAACCACTTTATTTGTTGCAAAAATTTGTTCTATTGTATATTTCTATATATATCTATCTATAGATAGCTGTAGATAGATATCTACATATATATATACATATATATGTATATATATATATATGCACATTTGAATATATAAAACTGCACCAAACTGCTCTGACTTGGCGTACAGCCTTGCATATAACTTTGTTTGACTGCAAAAAGTGAGCAAACTTTCACTGCTTTCTATATTTTCTGTCAAAGTTTGAGCAGAAAATCAAATAAGAAGCAGAAACTGTTTCAATCAAGTAGTTTCTTTTGATACAAGTAGTTTATAGTTTATAAAATTAATATTTGGGTCTTCAGAAAATCACAATATACTCAGATTTCTTAACTTAAATTGCACAAGTTAATGTTACTAAGCTACTTTAAAGAAAACTGAACAGTCTGAGGTTATGAGTTTGAAAATATTTTCCTATTAAACTTAATTTTATATGAACTTATTAGGTTTTTACAGTACAGTTAGTCGAGTAGTGTAAACTTACATCTTGCACATATTAACATTTTTAACTTTTAACAACTTGATTTTTTTGAGTTTAAACTCCACCTATTGTGTTTTACAGTGTGTTTAAGTCCCATTTTACAGCCATTCACCAGCTGTCTCCCCCGCCTGCAGCAGACCAGACTCTCCTTTTAGCACCTTCTTATTTGCTGTTTGTCTTCTGGCGTTTCTGACACCTAAACACAGAGGTGCATTTGATTGCCGCCCTGAAGCTGTGCTGATGTCACTGAGCTGCATTTTCCATCATAACCATGACATTAGTCATGTTCTGAAATGTGCTCCAGCTAGAACAAAGCCAGATCGTGCATGAAAGCTGGTTATAACACCAGTTTTACCAGTAGCTCAAAAAAAAAAAAAAATATGACAAGTAGAAACAAAAAAGAGGAAGGCTCTACAAGCGGGCAAGCTTTTGGTTTTGATGAGGAATACATTTACAAATCAGTCACGTCCTCTTTGGAGATTAAATATGGCACATGCTTTATTTAGTAAACAGAGTGCAGATTTCTGTGCAGTAATGCTGCCGCTCGCTCACACTATGTCAGCGAGTTGAGACCGACTGATAGCATCTGGAAAAATGTGTGTGAAGCAAAAAGATCATATGACAGAACAAAAAACAGAAAGAGATGTTTATATTTGATGTGTCAACATATTGAAAGATCAAGTAATGACTCAGCTACTGCAAGACAAATGTTTCAGTCACAGCACGCCTCATTTCAAATATATTTCCCCTTTACGGCTTGAAATCATGGCAGTGGATGCAACTTTCTCTGTGTGCTCACACAACGTTGACCCCTTCCAGCATGACCCGGCGCTCCAGTCCGCAGTGACACCGTGTCAATGATAAACCCACAGAGAACATCCAAAACCGTGACTGAAACACACACAGGGGCTGAGAACAGGACGTTGCAACACAGAAGGAACATGCTGATAAATGCATTGCTTCACAATCAGAGAGGAAAAAAACTCTAAAACCTGAGAATGTGGAGCAGTTTATTTTATAAGGCATGACAAATTGCTCAGTTGCAGAACGCGTAACTGTGCTCACTGGTGCGTGTGAAGCATACGGGATAATCATTTGCAGCTTTGGGTTGTAATTTAGGCTGCCTTGTTTGTTGTTGAAGAAATTCTGTAGCTCAATCAAAAAGGTCCTCGGTGCCAAAATAGTCGTCAGGCGGATCTGAATTGTGTTTACTCTGCTGAAAGGCCGAGTAAACCACCAGTTCTCACAGGCAGGAAAACATCACGCTCGCTAGTATGAACAAAAAACCACAGCATGGCTTCTGTACAATAACTGGAACAACCGTCATTCATAGAACAGCTCAGATAGGC